CTGTAACATTGGGAAGTGCAGCTGCCAAACTGCACATAGGCAGTTCACACAACAGCAAGATAAATAAACTGGTTACAGTGATGACCTATATGGTCAAAAGCACGAGAGAGAACTTAATTATTTCTCCAAAATTGGGCATGGGATCTTTTATGCCTCCCCAGGAGCGCAAATGGGACCTGGATTGAACTTGCAGCTGAAAAACAGAAACAACAGTTTTGTCACACGTCATTGTCCCAATTCTACTTCTCATGGCCCAGAACTTAATGAGTTAAGTTCGTCACTGCTGATAGATCTGGCAATGGTCAGCTTAAGTGATGCTGAAGATGCACTATAAATTTGACAGGAAAAGGAAGTGCGATAATACTAGTGGCACGTTCCAACTAATGTGCTGAAGTGATAATCACAACACAAGTAAACTAAAATACTTTCCACCAGCACAGAGACTATGCTGAAGGCCAGTAACTGCTCATTAAAGCTTAAAGTCTAAGGGCAATGTATCAGCCTTACCAGACCTGTCTACTCATCAGGTGTTACAAAGACCAGATGGTATAGAAACCTGGTCAGAGAATCTGATCTCAGAAGGATGGAGGATGGTGACAATTTCTATCACCTCTTTTTTCCTCAAATTTCGTTCATGTGTCCTGTCTCAGGGAAAAATGTAGAATAGGCATTTCCTTGCAGACTGGGAACTGTACAGACCCATTGCCTACTTGCTCAGTATTTGGAGCTCAGAGGAAACTTTTTAAATCTGCACCGTAGCCTAGAGCTATGTACCCCAGAGGGCTCGCTTGAAAACAATACGGCAGGCTTCAATGTGTCAAGGACAAGGCTGCAGATGTTCATTCAGAAAATACACACGACTGTATGAACTAGGACAAGAAGTTAGCCATTTTCCGTCAAGCCTCTTCCACCATTTAATAAAGGGCATAACTGAGCAGTTTGAGTTTGATTACCAGATTCCAATTGACTGCTGATACTTTTGATGCCCTTGCCCGACAAGAATCCATTTACCTTGTTCTGACTGAGGGTCACAGGACTCCAAACATTAACACTGTTTTCCCCTGCACAGATGCTACCAGACCTGCAGAGTTTCTCCAGCACTTTTTGTTTTTGAGAATTTACCTCTACTTCATAAATATTCAATGATCCTACTACCTCCACTGCCTCCCAAGGCAGAGATTTCCAAAGTTGTACAACCCTCTGAGAAAAAGTCAAAGTCATTCTCATCTGCATCCTAAAAGGGACAGCCTAATTTTGAAAACATCCCCATTTCTGGATTCACCCACAAAAGGAAACAATCTTTCTACATCCATTGTGTATCCGAGACTGTTGAGTCAGTTAAGGGAGGAAATAGCAGGGGCACTGGCAAAAATTTTCAATTGCTTTGTGGCCACTGGAGAGGGTCCAGAGGACTACAGGACAGCCAATGTGCTACTGTTATTCAAGAAGCCAGCAAGTGATAAATCAGGGATCTACAGGCCAGTCAGTATAACTTCAGTAATGGGGAAGCAATTCTGCATTTGGAGAGGCAGAGATTAAATCAAGAACAGTCGGTATGGTTTTGTTAAAGGGAGGTCATCTCTGACCAACTCAAGTGAATTCCTTTTTGAAAAGATGACCTGATGAGAAGATGAGGGCAACGCATTTGACGCAGTCTACTTGGACTTCAGCAAGGCTTTTGATAGCCCCCCACATGGGGCGGATTGAGAGCCCCCCACATGGGGTGGATTGAGAGCCAAGATAAGAGTCCATGGGATCCAAGGAAGTTGGGCTGAATGGGTCCACAGTTGACTGAGCGCAAGGAGGCAGAAGGGTGTTTTTCTGATCGGAAATCTGTGTCCAGTAGGGTTCCACAAGGATCAGTGTTGGGGCTCTTGCAGTTTATTGTAAATATAAACCATGTAGTCTTGATTGTAGGATGGTTGTTCAACAAGTTTGTGGATGACATGAAAATGGGTGGGGTGATAAATAGCGAGAAGGATAGCATTAGATTACAGGTGGATATAGATAGGTTGGTCAACAAACTGATCAATGGCAAATGGATTTCAATCTGATTAAGTGTGAGGTGATGCACATTGGCACAACAAACACGGCAAGGGAATACACAGTGAACAGTAGGACCCTTGGAAACACAGGATCAGAGGGACCTCAGTTGCATGTTCTCCAGCCCCTTAAGATAGTGGGACATTAATGATCTATCAGGTAGATAAAGTGGTTAGGGCAGCACAACGAGATACCTGCTTTTATTAGTCAATTCATATGGTTTACAAACAGGGAGGTTATACTGGAACTGTACAAAATGTTGGTTAGGCCACAGCTACAGTATTGTGCTCAGTTCGCATTATGCGTGAAGTGATAGCTTTGGAGAGGAGATTTACCAGGATGTTGCCTGGGCTGGGAGATTCAGTTTTGAAGAGAAATTGGACAGACTGGGGTTGTTCTTCTTGGAGTAGAGAAGACCAAGGCAGGGAGCATGATTAAGATGTATAAAATTATGAGGAGCACAGATATGGGGAGGCAATGGCCTAGTGGTATTAATCGCTGGACTGTTAATCCAGAGACCCAGATAATGTTCTGGGGACCTGGGTTCGAATCCCACCATGGCAGATGGTGAAGTTTGAATTCAATAAATATCTGGAATTGAAATCTAATGATGACTGTGAATTCATTGCCAATTGTTGGAAAATCCCATCTGGTTCACTAATGTCCCTTAAGGAAGGAAATTGCC